GTGTCCCTGCGTGTCCCCGTGTGTCCCTGCGTGTCCCCGTGTCCCTTCTGTCTCTGTGTTTCAGGCCAACAAGCTGAAGACGAAGACGATCAGAAACTCCCTGAATCCCATCTGGAATGAGACGCTCACCTACTGTGGGATCACAGAGGAGGACCTGCACAGGAAGACGCTCAGGTGTGTCAGGAGAATTTAAACGGAGCTCGTTTTATTCCTCTGATGGTCCAGAAGTGGTTCTTCCGGCGGGATCACCATGGCAACCAGCATTTCCTGAGCAGCTCCTAACTGGGCCAGCAGGCCGGAGTAAACTGGTTTAAATATTTAGTTTGCAGACTAAATATTTTGCTTCCAGCTAAACTGAACATTTAGTTAGTAAGTGAAATATTTAGCTTGTTAATTTAATATTTAGTTTAAAACTGCAACATTTATATCTGAATTAATTGTATGGTGAAAATATGTAATTTTACAAACACTCATGTCTCTCTGTCTCCGTCTCTCTGTCTCTCTGTCTCCATGTCTCAGGTTGACCGTCTGTGATGAGGACAAGTTGACTCATAACGAGTTGATCGGAGAGTCCCGGGTTCCCCTGAAGCGGGTCAAACCGGACCAGTCCAAACATTTCCACACCTGCCTGGAGCATCCGCCGCCGGTAAAACCTGAATCTGGCAGATTTTCATAAACGTCAAGTAAAAGTTTTGATGGACCAGAACCGAGCCGCTAGCAGCTAGCAGCTAGCAGCAGCTGCTTTCTGTTTCCTGTTTCCTGTGAGACGAATGGCATCTGAGACTTTAACCCTTTTACGCCTAAGTTTCAAATGTCTGCCTCTATATTTGTTGGATTCACTCCTTCCGTTCCACTAGGGGGCTCTATAGTATTGGTATGTGTAGAAGAAGAAAACGAACTGCGGACCATTAGTGTACTTAGGTTGCCTAGCAACCACACTAACAAGCCGAACCTGCCATTTATTCACATCTTTCGAATCTTACCAATGTTCATGAGTGTTGCCCAATGTGGTGAGTTATATATTAATGCTGTTAAGCTGTGTTTAAGTTTGTCCTTTTGAATATCGCAATATTAAGTATTGACGTTTTGTTTGTCTTTTTTTTTATTTTTTACGTTATTTACAGTTTAACCGGCATGTCCGCGTAAAGCACTCGGCAATAAAAAAAGAACAGTTACAACCTCAAGGGCTACCTTATGTTCTTCGTAACAATATTTCTTCCTTATTTTAATTGTAAGTAGTTCTTTAAATGTCCTGTGAGATGATATACTTACCCATGTATCCATAACAACCGGAACTTTCAATATCCAGCAAGTCATTTTCGCAATTTACCGTCTAATAAACGAGTGGCCCCCGGATTAATTTCACTCTCTGCAGCTGCAGCTGTGAAATTACCGTAATAACCCGATATTCGCTGGAAAGGGCAACGTCTCCCCTGTCAGAAACCGTTGGAATGTTTCAGATAGCGCTTCGTGTGGCGGAATTACGGTACTGCAAATTTGGATGTGTCGCTGGCGAAGCGTGCCGGTCTAGAAGGTTAAACCAAATAGATTTCTGCTGACAGAACCACCGATCTAGATACTTTAGAACCGGGCTCAGAAGGACAGTAGACGGTTCTGGTCCGTTTCAGTCTGGACCAAACGTCCTCACCTTGTCCTGTCTCTGCGTCCTCCAGCTGCCGTCCCCCACCGCCATGGGAGAAGCTCTGAGAGGAATATCCTGCTACCTGAGAGAGGTGAGCGGGATTAAACTGGGATTGAACTGGGATTGAACTGAGATTAAACTGGGATTAAATTGGGATTAAACTGGGATTGAACTGGGATTAAACTGGGATTAAACTGGGATTGAACTGGGATTAAACTGGGATTGAACTGGGATTAAACTGGGATTAAACTGGGATTGAACTGGGATTAAACTGGGATTGAACTGGTACTAGTGATGGGTGTGAAATGTTGAGTTGAAGGTTTTCATTATGTGTTTTTTTCTGCGTCTGCTGCAGTTTGGGATGATATTAATGGTAATGACCAACATGAGTCTGCAGCTCGATGGTTAAATACAAATGAAAACATCAAACAGGATGCTGTGTGTGTGTGTGTGTGTGTGTGTTTCTCTTCTTGTGGGCAGGTAATAGCAGCAGAGTGGAAGCCAGTATCTGAATTATTGATGGTTACGTCTAACTGGGATCATTAAACCATCATGAGATGAAACGACTTTTACAGACGACCAGAGACAGATCCCAATAGCATCACCTTCATCATCACCTTCATCATCACCTTCATCATCACCTTCATCATCACCTTCATCATCACCTTGTAACCCGGGTGTAAATTTCTAGCTTCACCTACTAATTTTCTCCGGTTTCTCCAACTCTTTATCAAATCACATGATAATCCTGATAATAGTGTTGCTCTCGCGAGACTATAAAGCAGCCAATCACTGCTCGGTTTCCAAGGTCACATGTAGTGTTGCAGCCTATCGGCTGGCTATGTTAATTGGAGCAGGAAGTTTGAACACTAGGATGCGTTGAGGGGAGCAGAGCTACAGGTTTGTCGAGCTTTATTGTTCTTTATTTTCTTTGCCTTATTTGTACAAAAATCGTGTAACTATAATGACACCATAGGAGCCGATTACCACCAGACCAGCCAGGAGAGATGGCAGTTAAATGTAGAACAAATGAGGATCTGGTGACTGTTGTTTTGACGTAGCGATTAGCGATTAGCAATACGCTTGGCTGTGTGGGACTGAATGAACCCACACTGGGTTGAATAATGAAGTGTTTTGAATGTTTGGTTAATTTTCTTAAATTGCATATTGATTGGATTGATACTGAACTTGATATTTATTGAATATGGATTTGTGTACACATTAGAATGATTGAATTGTATTTCAATGTTTATTGGTCCTGTTTATTTATACAGGCCAGAAGTTGGCGAGCTAAATGTCCAGGCCTAGAGCCATAAGAAAGGATTACACTTGTATGTGTGAAGATTTCCGCTCTCCTGCCGGGATGTTCGGAGGCTCCTTGCAGCCTGAACACTTTCTGTCTCATCCTGATCTCTGATTTCCCATCTTGGACCTATACCACATCAAGCACCTTACCAGGCCAGCCTGTCTTGGGATTTGTTACCCCAGCTTGGGGTCAAAGGACTGAAGGGTGTGGGTTTAGTTAATGGTGGGATTAATTAACTTGGGTTTTGTTTATTTTGTTTGTTTTCTTTCCTGGTATTGCGCATATTTGTTTTTTTATATGGCCATTTAGATGTCTGTTTACCTTGTTGAATTTGTAAATATGTTTTTCTGTCTTTCTCTGTGAATATAATGCACTGGCACATTGCAGATCTTCAGACTCCGTGTCTCTTTCATGAGCCGAATGCTAATCTTCTGAGAAACCAGCCCAATTGATCCATTTATTTAAATTGCAGTATATTACATTCTTTAAATATACTACAACCTTCATCATCATATGTGGATCCCTGATATTGGTCTAAATCCAACCCAGTGGCTTGTTTTCTCTGGTAGAGCAGCGGATGAACTGTTGGCATCGTAGCAGAGAGTGAGGCGTGATTAAAATGTCATCAATGCATCAGGAAGTTCTTCCTTTCAGACGCCGTCTGTCTTCTCTCCAGCAGCGCCACAGCTTCCTGTTTCTGGAGGAGTTCTGGGATTCTGTTCAGACTCCATGGTTTCCCTTTTAAACATTAATTTGGTCTTATGTGCTAAAATAGCAGAATGCCTCGTTGTTGTTTTTTTGTGTTAAGCTTGTTAGCTGGCAGCTTTTACCTCAGGAACGGTCGAGGTGTTTGGACAAAGGCGAAGCAGCAGAGCCGGTTTTACTGGACGCATTTTCAGCCAATTTGACCTCAGCATGGAGACAAACAGGAGCTTTACCTGCTGACGCACCTTTCAGTTCAGTGTGTGCAGGATCTGATCCGAGAGCAGCTGAAGCTTCTGGAGTTTTCCTGCTGATTCACTGAACTCTGAACTGAAATCTAACAGAGCAACTCAACGTTTCGCTTGTTTTCAGGAATTTACATCTGCACTAAAAATCTAATTAAACCAATTAGATTTTTTTTATTGCAGAACAAAACATGTCTAATTAGGAGCCTCAGTATAATTTAAACATGAGCAACTCGTTTGACAGGCTGCTGTGGTTATGTGGAGGAACCAGAACAAACCAAACAGAACAAGAAACGCCTTCTGTCAGTGACACATTCATTCATTCATTAATCCTTCTACTCATTCATCTGCAGGGGTGCCTCCAGGAATCTTGGGCCCCCTGACAAAAAAATTTAATTGGGCCCCTGC